CAGCTCGAGCTCTGCGGCCGCCGCCTCCCCGCTGACCCCGCGGTAAGAGACGGGCTGGGAGCGGGCCGTGCGGGCAGGAGGCCGGGCCGGTGGAGGGCTAGGGCTGGTGCCCGGGGCGAGTGCTGGCGCCGACTGGCATCCACGCGTCCCTTCGCCCGCCCTCCCGCTCAGCGCTGCGCCGGAGTCACCAAACGGACTCGCACCGGCCCGGGCGGAGCGGGGGCGGAGCGGGGGCGGCGGGGGCTTCTTCCGGGGCCGGCGTGCGCCGCCGCGCCTTTCCCCGGCGGGAATCGCCGCCACCGTGAGGGCTGCTCCGGTTGCTGCCCGCGCGGACACAGCCGAGTCAAGGGGCGGGTGGGGACCGCACCTCCGGTGGGATCTCAGGGTCCTCGGGCGCCCTTTAGTCCCTTATTCTAGCGGACGGGGGCCCGGATCGGGGATGCCCCTCGGTCTGGACGCCGCGGCGATTGGCAGGTGGGGAGGGAGGGATTGTCGGTGTCAGGAGCGCGCGTTTACAAGAAAAAGGAATAGCTGCAGGAGCTGACACGCTCTGTCCCCCGCCACCTCCGCCCCCGCACCTTCCAGTCAGCCGAGCCGCGCTGCGGGCGGCGGCGGCTCCTCTGTCCTCAGCTCACCTCCCCGGCGGGCTGAGGCTGCTGCCCGCCCGGTCCACGCCTCCGCCTCTCTCCTCCCTTCCTCCTCTCCCGCCTCCTCGGCCTTCGCAACTTTCCAGAGCGCCCGGCTGGTGCCGCAGGGGCGGGGGAGAGCGGCCTGGGGCTGCGGGTGGCGTGGACTGGGCGGACGCGCGGCAGGAGGCGCGGGCGGTGTCCTCGCGGCCCCGGTTCTCCGGGCGCGAAGGGCGCTCCCGCAGCCGCGGACTCTTGAGTGGGTTTGGCCGGCGAGGGAGGGAGGGCCAGACCGGCATCTGCTGCAGGCTGGAGCGCGGGGCCCGGGCCAGCCTCGCCAGAGCCCTGCCAACCGCCGTGAGTCATTTCCTTGGAATTCTACCTTTGGTGTTTATTTCCCTTAGAAGGAAACTCGGTTTAAAAAAAAAAAAAGAAGAAGAAAGAAAAGAAAGAAAGAAGAATAATAGCTCTTATTCTTCAGAAGAGGCACACGGCTCCCGCACCACGTAAAGACAACTTGCCCTTTGTTCCCAGACCCTTGAGGGTGTTGTTTACTTTCTCCTGCGGACGGCGGCCAGGCGGGCGCTGCTCGCTACCCTGGAGAGGGGTCAGGGGCTGCAGCACCGACCCCCGGGGGTGTGTCTGCGCAGGAGGCAGGACAAGGTGGCTGCCGCCCTCCTACAGGGGTCGGTGTTCCAAACCTCGGACCTTCCTATTGGGTCTGGTCTGAGGAGAGCTGGCGCCAGGGCTTGGCCATCCGGGCCCCCCTCGCTCCCCGCAGACCCTGCATCCGCATTCCTAGCCCCAGGACCCGATCTAAAGCTCCTGACCTCCCGGGGCTGCAGCTGAGAAATGTACTTCCCAAGGTAGACAGGTGCACTGGGGGACTGGCAGAGGAGCGGCTTCTGTCCTCTTAGAAGGGTTGACGGATTTGATTTTGCCCTTCCACACCCCGCTCCCACCCCCCACCACCAAAAGCCGGAGAAGCTGTTGAAATCTTGTCACCGACAAGGTCGCGGTCAGGGGCTTGATTCCACCTGGGCAGGACATTTAAGACTGGCAGCGTCAAAGAGGAGGTGGAAATATCCGCTCTTTCCTTCTCTCCTTTTCAGTATTGGAGTCAGACCTCTGGCTGCTATAATACTGTTAATAAAATGTTCTCTAAGTTCCAGTAATGGGTGTAGGGAGGAGAAAGAATGACCAGGAGCCCCCTGTTAGACTAAAGGTGCCCCAGAATCTGGGATACCCTGCTGGGTGTGTCAGCCCTTCCTATTAGCATCGTCAGAATGGCTCAGAGTTAAGAACAAGGCTAACTCACCTGGAAAAAACAAATTATGTAGAAATGCCAGGTAACTTTACTATGAACATCTGCTGGAAAAGCTTGACATTTTAGCCCTCAGCCTTCTGGGAACACTACATCCACTTGGCTTACAAAATAGACATGCAGGAGCCTGAGGATAAAGGGTTAGGTTTTTTTTTAAGCCCCTGTATAGACACAACACACGTTAACACCCTCCTTTTGAATACACTTACCTCTGATGTTAAAAAAAACAAAATTTGCCGTAAATATAAATCTTTGTGGCTCTATTTAATATTAACAGCACATAATTTTGTAGACATGAACTTCTGAGTTCGGTAACAGAATTATGATGTAAATCTCATCATACACAGAGTAATAGTTTGGATCTGTACATATAATACAGATAATCATGTGAAACATTGGTGCTTAACACTCTACATTCCAATTTTTCGTGAACATTGAACTTGCCTTCTTAATTTAACATCCCAGTGTAAGACTCAATGGCAAAATCTCCTCCCTGCTCCCGAATAATTCTAACTCATTCATGTTTTATTCAGACTTACATAAATCACTTGCAGACTCTTAGACTCTTCAGTTTAAGATTTTGTATATAAAAGTTTCCAATTCAAAAAAGAAAAAGTTACTGAAATTAGATATTGTAAAGAAAAGAAATAGCCAAGATAAAAACGATTATGCCAAGTTTCAAATTCACATGCGTAATTTAATGATAGAATTCAGTATTCTGGAAACAATACTAACAAATAGAAACACTGAAATCCTTAATAACCAAAAAAGCTCCAACAATAAGTCACTAAAATATAGACAAACTCTTGACTAACATGAAGCAGCACAGGGTCCATATAATGTCCTGTTAAAAAAAGACGATCGCCACTAGAGGCCTGCGAATACTTTACTTTCTTAAGGGACAGTGGGTTCGTCAACCTGTTTTTGTTTATGTGTAATAAAAGTTCTACATGGGCAAAAAGATTGAATCTGTTTCCCAGAATCCAGCATAAAAGTGAGTGTAAATTTCAAGCTGGAAAGTATTGTAATCAATAAGAGAGGACTGCTGAATCTGGTAGAAAGCTGTCATCCGTTTGCTCCTTGCAATAGCTTTACTTGACATAGTTGTCCCTTAGAATAGGGGAAGAAATTGGACCATTTCATGAGATTCTTCCATGGATGCTGAGTTTGAGGTTTGGTAGAGAGAATAGCTTAATTTGTTAAATCAGTGTTGGCTAAATTTCTTGGTTGATGACTCAAAGAGCAAAATAAGTGGCATGTCCCACCATTTCTTTATAGAGAACTAATTGAACTTCTTTTATTCTTTTGTGATAACATGTTTTAATGAATCTTTGCTGCTGTCTCTTTAGAGGTGCCGTAGGGCATCTTAAAAGAGAAGGGGTTAGCTGATTCCTTGTTCCAGCCACTGACATGGACACCTCCTCTGTCTTTCAGAAGGCTATTTGACCCAGCCTTGCTTCATTCTTCAGTGAGGCTGGGACAGAGTTTGGGACCTCAGAGAGAAGCCTGGGTGAAGGATGGAGTCGTTGCTGTCAAGAACTCCTCTGTTAGCCAGAAGTACACTGTCACTTTAATGAAGCTGTTTCCCCTTACCCTGGTGTTTTCCCTCCCTTCACCTGGAAGTGGATCTTGTTATAACATGTAGGTAATGATAGTCTCCTGTAAGACAATGGTAGAGTCACCCTTTCCCAAATGCATTACAAGCTGTATAATTTGGAGAAGAAAGCAAGAATTAGACCCTTAGTGTATATTTGAAAGACAATCAGTCTTAAGAAAGCCGGCCTGACATCACTCTTTCTGACAGTTCTTTAAACCACGAAGTGGGATAGCGGAGGTTGTGGTCCCCTAAAGGAATTAGCCATTAACAAGGCATTGAGGCTGCTCTGTTGTGGTCTCTGCTGTCACAACCGATCTATGGCCCCTAGCTAGGTCTTCTGCCTGTAATATCAGACCCTCTTCTCCTTCGAATTCACTTACAAAATTTTTTTTCATTGTGGTAAACATCAACGGAGGAGGCAGAATATTAAACAGACATGTCGACAATCTTCACATGTACGATTCAGGGACATTAATTATGGTCATCATGTTGTTCAACCATTACCCTTAACCATTCCCACATTTTTCATCTCTCTTAGCAGAAGCTCAGTGTCCCCTAAGTATTGTGTCTTCCTTTCCTCTCCCTCCATCCACCCCTGGTAACCACTGTGAACTCACTTCTGACCCTACCCTGAGCCCTACTTAGGACCAAGTGAAGAAACCAAGCCCCCCACATGAGTGCTGCAGGGGCCCCAGTAATGTCACAGAGCTCAAGGCTCCCAAGTCTCCTTGTAGGCCGTGAACTGGAGAGAAGGGCAGTGGTATGTTGCCTCTTGGAAAGTTCCTGCCTCATGTCTGGGCTTTGCAGTGTAAAGAGTTGTCGGCTTCCTCTGGCCTCGGAGCCCTGGCTCCTGGTTAATATTCCGCCTGCTCGGTTGATGTTGTGCTTGGCTCCTGGGGGACTGCAGCTCACGGCTTGAAACTGGAGCCAATTTTCTGTCTTCATCTCAGTGTTTTGACTGGAGGCAGATCCAGTTCAGTCCAATCAGGGCTGGTGGAAACAACTACCAAGTGTCTCTGTCTGCTTCTCTTTGGGAGAAGAAAGTGGAGGGCGCCCCAGAATGTTGCAAAGGGCCTGGCCCTGTGGAAATGAGAGGAGGAGGGTTAGGGGCAGTGGAGCAGACTGTGAACCTGAGCAGCAGTTGGGATTACGGTGCAGATCCCTCCCCTTTTTTTCTTTTTGATTGATTAGCGGATTTTCATCAAAGGAGACTCCCGGGTGATTGACTAGAAAATTGATTTTGCCTTATTAATAGAAAGGAAGCGCAAGGGTTTTGGCCCTGCCTCTTAGCGTACATCTTCTGCGGGAAGGTCAGGAGGAAAATCTGTTTAGGAGGCAAAGCAGCTGTCTCAAAGAGGGCTGAGGGGAATCTGAGAACAATAAGAAATGGGGTTTTAAAGATCCGCCCATGAAATGCAGATTGCTGAACACAGAGGCTGAGCTAATAGCAGCAAGAGAATTTGCTGAGGTTTTCTTTGAAAAAATAATAAAATGTTTCTGGGCAAAGGGGAGGACCGAGAAGTAAAAGTTTCCTCAAAGCAAAGGAGTGAAGCTGCCAAGGCCGTCCCTGGCCTTGCTCCTGATGGCGGCTATTTTCCTTTCTTTTCAGATCTGAGGCTGTCAGCGATGACTCTGGTTCTGTCCATGAATAGATTTTGCGAGCCCATTGTCTCTGAAGGAGCTGCTGAAATTGCTGGGTACCAGACGCTATGGGAGGCTGACAGCTACGGAGGCCCGAGCTCCCCGGGGCCAGCACAGGCCCCTCTGCAGGGAGACCGGGGAGCCGGTCCCCCGCTGGCAGGTACTGCCCTTGACTTCCCATGCTGCCTCTGCAGCCAGACTGGGGGGCGGTAGGTGGTGTCTGGGGTGCCCTTCTGAGTGGAAAAAGCTCGTGCTCCAGGGGTTCAAGGAGAGGACCAGAGGTGCTATTTAAACTGCATCCAAATCTGCATCTACATGTGCTGCTGCTTCTTGTGTTAGTCCTGCTTCTCTGTTTTAAAGAAAACCAAACCAGATTGTCAAGCTCTGGGTTTGGGTTTGGGTTTTCCACCCTGTGGGGCCATATGGCTTTACAATGAACTCTCTGTCCCGTGAGACTTAGAGGAAGCTACACTTGGGTCCAGAAACTATGTGTCCTTTCTTTTTATTATGTACACAATTGACTTCAATATTGTAGGAAAAAAAATTTTTAAAGCCAAGAAGATAGAAATATATTGTTCCTGACTCTTTACTCTTATATTCTAAGTTCCTTTGGATTTTTGTATAGTAGCAGCTATTTTAAAAAAAACGAAAATGTAAAACAGAAGCTCAGTTGAAGTTAGTTTTGCTAAAAAAAAGTAAAAGCTCTGTCCTTTAAAAAGAATCAGACTTTGCTTTTACATGGTTAACATTTTTGAGGGTGAAACGGACTTTAGTTGCCCAGCATTTTAATTTTAAATTTAAAAAATTTGAATTTCATATTTTGAAAGCAGGAATATTCTATTATAACTCCAATGTGCAGATAACCATTTGTTTACTTGCCTAGAGCCAATAATATTTTAAAGTTGGTTGATCATCAGTGGTTACAGTTAAAGACGTATACATTTGAATAGCGGTGTTATATTCTCATGAATTTAATTAAACAATCTGAATAAGTACTAATACTATCTCAGTTGTTAACTCTTCCCTTTTATGGATTTTGCTGTTTACCTGTGCATAGAATTAAGATATTGAGTATCCAGTAAATCCTGAGATATATCATTTTTCTCTATAATTGACTAGAAATCCTTGCTCAGCCTAGGTCACAGGATTCCGTATGATAGCAACTACTAAGACAAATGTTTATTTTTAATCACGATACATACAGACAAATATGCAGCTAAGTTATCCTCTAGAAAGAAAGGAAACGAAAGTATTTTGTTTGGAGAACCTCTGGCAAACCGCATGTCATTTGTCATATCTGATTTATTACCACAGGATCACATTACAGGGGAATTTCAAATCCTGTAACAACATCCAAGATCACATACTTCAAGAGGAAGTATGTGGAAGAAGAGGATTTTCACCCACCACTCAGCAGCTGTAGCCATAAAGTATGTTTTTTTTAATAGTCATTATTTTTATTAAGAGTTTAAGATACTTAGTTGCTTGATCCGTTTCCAGAAATTAAATTGTTCCACCCAGGCAGTGAAAATGAGCCAGCTCTTAGCAGAGCCACATTAATCCTTGTCACTGTTTTGGGTCCTGTGTTATTTTTTGTGAAGTAGTTTGAGAAAGAGCTCCTCTACCCAGAAATAACAAAATCAAACAATCCAAGAAATGTCTTTTTTACTTACGATACAATTTTTCTCAAGTGGCGTCAGTGGTTACGGTTATCCTGTGCCTTTAGTATGCAGAAATGTACTTGTTCTCCTCTGATGTGCTTTTCCCTCACCGAGCTCTGCCTGCCCCCTTCCCTGTGCGCCCACTTCGGGTAACTCACGGTTTTCCTAACCTCCTAGAGGTGGACTCACAATCCCTTGAGTGTGTGCATGAAAATAGAAACATGCACTTCACTGTATATTCATTACGTATGTTAAGTTTATTAAAATACATAATTCATTCCCAAAAAAGGAGCAAAGCAAACTTTTTTGACGTATAGGAAGAAAGTAACAGAACTGGGTAAGTATGTAGAATTAGGAAACTGGCCATCTAAGCTTTTGAAATATTCATTCTTTTTCCTTCTGATGATCTTTCAAAAGCTGTCTGCTGATTTAATAATCATGGAGGGTATACCAGATGCTGGTCAGTTGATCCCAACCCATAATGACCCCATGTGCGTCAGAGTAGAACTGTGTTCCATAGGGCTTTCAGTGGCGGGTTTTTCAGAAGTTGATCACCAGGCCTTTCTTTCAAGGTGCCTCTGGGTGGACTTGAACTTCCAACCTTGCGGTTAGCAGCTGAGTTCTGAACCAATTGCACCGCCCAGGGATAACCCAGACGTTGGTTGTCTGAAATGCTGGGGATGTTTTTAATTCATCTTCCTCTTTCTCATCGTGGTCCCCAGTCCTGTAGGTGTTGCTCATAACAAAACATCAGGCTGTCCTGGCAGGCTAGGGGGCTTTTCCTCCCATGTGTAAGTCCTGCCTGCGGTCAGCCTGGGCTGATTTAGTTCACAGCTCCTCAGGTTATGCTGCCAGTTTGCTTTTTTCTGACCTGGAAGAGCCGGCCTCAGGGACACAAGCAGTTTATTTCCTTTTTGCTTTCTGTGTTGTGCTTGTCGCTGTTTTCCAATTGCTTCTGGATTTACGCTGACCACCACATAGGAGTGAGTCTTCTCATTCTCTTTCTGCCTAGTCCCAGAAGGAAGGCTGCTTTGGCCCCTTCAACTGACATGTCCTGTGAGAGTCTCAACCTCATGAATTATTGTCCCCCATCAAGCAAGGATAATTGCAAGCATGGAGCACAGAGATTAAAAGAGGAACAAGACTGAAAGCCAGGTCTTATGTTCCTTGATGTCTGGGCCAAGGATTGAAGTATACTCATTATGACCTGCATCTTGGCATCTTTTTAAAAGCATTTTATTGAAGCAAAATCTCTGTGCGGTATATGTGTATATACGTATATGTATAAGGAGCCTTGGTGGCGCAGTGGTTAAGCGCTTGCCTGCTAACCGGAAAGTCAGTGGTTCCAATCTGCCAGCCACTCCATGGGAGAAAGGTGTGGCAGCCTGCTTCTGTAAAGATTAAAGCCTTGGAAATCCAGTGGGACAGTTCTACTCTGTCCTATATGGTCACTATGAGTCGGAATCAACTGGACGGCAATGGCTTATGCGTGTGTCTGTGTGTGTGTGTGTGTGTGTATGTGTGTGCACGTGTATCCCAAGCCCAAATCAGTTGCCACCAAGTCAACCCTTACTCATGGCGAACCCATGTATGTCAGAGTAGAACTGACATAGGGTTTTTAATGGCTGACTCTTTGGAAGTAGATCACCAGGCCTTTCTTCCAAGGTACCTCTGGGTGGACTGGAACTGCCAACCTTTCAGTTGGCAGCTGAGTGCCTAACCATTTGTGCCAAGCAGGGACACACACACATAAAAGCACAAGTATCATAAGGTTACAGCTCAATGAATTTTCCCAAAGTATACATACCCATGTAGTTAGCATCCAGATCAAGAAACAGAACATAACCAGCAACCCAGAAGGCTCCTTGTGCCCCCTTCTACTCACTACCTCCCTACACCCCAGAGTAACTGCTCTCCTGACTTCCAACAGCATAGATCTCTTGTATGTGCCTCAGCATCTCCCTCATTGGGCCCTAAAAGAACGAGCAACCCGACTTCCTCTCAGTGCTGAGGTCTGCGTGTGGCTGGATTCCCTTGTGCTTGGCCACACAATGAGTCAGGGAGGGCCAGGGGAGGAAAGGGGGCCCCCAGCAGCATAGCTAAATGACCCTGGGGGAAACAAGGCCACGAGTCCCAGACCCAGAAACAGATAGGCTGTGATATTTGTGTACAGGCCTTTTCCTAAGCTTTCTCTTCCTTTCTTGATTTCTAGACCATCTCAATTTTTGAGGAGCGAGCCCACATCCTTTATATGTCCTTAGAAAAGCTAAAGTTTATCGATGACCCTGAAGTATACCTCCGAAGATCTGTCCTTATAAACAATTTGATGAAAAGGATCCATGGAGAAATTATCATGCAGAATAACTGGTGCTTTCCTGCCTGCTCTTTCAACGGCGCCTCTGCCCAAGAGTGGTTCATGGCTCAAGACTGTCCTTATCGAAAACGACCACGCATGGCCAAAGAGGAGTGTGAAAAGTTTCATGCCTGCTGCTTTTACCAAGAATGTGGCGGCCACTACCTAAATTTACCCCTTTCTGTCAATGCTAATGTCGGAAGTGCCTCCACTGCCTCTTCCTCCTCCTCCTCCTCATCTTCCTCTTCCTCTTCCCCTCTGCCTTTACCGAGTTGTTCCCACCAGGTGGATTTTGACGTAGGCAGACCACCTATTTACAAGAGTGATGGCCAGATACCTGCCAATGAAATATTCATTACTAATGTCAGGTCACTTGGTGTTCAGGAAAAGGCCAAATTAAATGATGAGAAAGCAAACAGTGACACCAACAGGGATGGTGGCCCCCTAAGCCATGAACTTGTGGGAAATGACCTTGCTTTTGAGTGCAAAGGCCAATTTTATGATTATTTTGAGACTGGATGCAATGAGAAAAACAATGTGAGTGAGTCTTGGAAAAAGTCGTTGAGGAAAAAGGAGCCTTCACCAAGTAACAAACTATGCTGCAGCAAAGGAAGTAAAATATGAGCCATCTTTTCACCGAAACTTTGAAGCATGCACAGCATGATCAATTAGCTCTCATAAATTTTATTTTGAATGGCTTTTATAGTTTTGTACAACTGATAAAATTATGCCATGAACATGCCGTCTCGCTTTAATGCCTGGAGAGCAGATTGCATAAAACATCTGTATAGTAGGCATCAGCGAGCTACTTATAAATGTGGTGATTTTATCAAGAAAACAGTTGGCCGCTTAAAAGTATATATCTTAGTTTTCTTACAGAAAAGATGAGTAGATTAGACTGGGGGACAACGTGCCCTTGTGATATTTCCATTGCCTCCCCCCTTCAAGGAGCCCGTCAGTAGTTAAGAACCTTCAACGTGTTTGCCAATTAATTAGGTAGTTATTTGGTAAGCAAATCAATATAACCAGCAAAGGATGTCTGCTTTTTCTATATGATACAGTATTTTTTCTGAAGAAATGACTGAAAGCAAGGAGCTAGATGAAATGGCTTCATGGTGCTGTTAAGTATTTGTATTTAACAGTCTTGTGTGACAGATGAAATAGGAGGGAACATAATAAAGCACACCTGTCTAGGGGCGGAATCGACAGTAGCAGAGAGGGTAATCCCTGCAAGTTCCTGGCTTGCCTGCGATGGGTGATGAAGCTTTTAGGGATGCGTTATACAGGGCGATTTTTGGTGCCTTACTTTATCTTAATTTTTGCCAATGTGAAAATTAAGGATAAATCAGAGTTTCAGCAGGGATTTAACAAACAGGAAAATTAAAAAACAGGGTGGATCAATATTGTTTGAAAACTGTTTAACTGAACTATGGCATTCAACTTTTGATTCAACATCTCTGTTCTTCCTTTATTTTCGATGCCCAGTTGCTTTTGGATTTAGCATGTTTAGAAAGGGATGGAGGAACAATAGCGAGGGCTGTTAGAGACCAGCACGAGCTCCTTGAGCTTTTCTAGGGTGACGGTCTGTTGCTGGGGTTTGGGTTTTTTGGGTTTTGGGTTGTTTTGTTTTGTTTCATTGTCCAATGAAGTTCATGAACCTGTGGCATGCATTATACTTTAATCTGTTTTGCATCATTTCACTCGTTTAGATTATAAACGCATGTGGTTTTTTATATACGACTTTTGCTGTTGATTAATAAGAAGCACAATGTTAATAAATCGTGGTGATCAATAAGGTTTTATCTTAAAGAATGTAAAGATTTTAGTTTGGGGAAATTTATTTTGGAGAAATGGGACTCAACCTGTAATAGTTACTATGTATTTGGTCAACATTTTCTCAATATTTCTTTTATTTGTACATTTGCAAGAGTGTTCAGAGTGCCCCTCTGACCATCCGTCCTCCCACTCCGGCCGACTCCTCCTGCTAAAGTGTGTTCCAATTTCCAAGGTCACTGATTGATTTAGGCCTCCTGAAACAATACTTTACAGGAACCAAATGCCAAATGGGGGAAATAAATAAGTCCTCCTAATTTCTCCAAGATAAAAGCTTTTTTATTATTGCTATCAATATTAAATATAGGTCTCATTCATACAGTGTATGAGTAGGATCATCATTTGGACGATTGTCCACAAGGACCAATTTTGAAACATGTTCTTGTGTTATAGCTATAGTCTAGTAACATTGTTCCTTATTTTCAATATTTGATAAACATTTGATGTTGAAAACTTAGATGATAGATGCTTGTATATGAATGTGTTGTAATAAAGTGAGGTTTTCTTGATATATATTTATTAAAATGATCAAAATTCATTAAGATTTTGTTGTTTTAATGTTATTGGCTGTGTTTCACTTTTCCGTTACTCTTTTCTCTTTTAAAAAATTCAGTACATCTAGAAACAGTAGTGGACAGTGGCCACACAAGCGTTTTCAAAGTAAAGGCCAATCTGAAGGTGATTTAGAACGGTCCTAGTTTGTAGGTTTAGATTTCTGTTGAGAAAAATTGCATAACATGATGCCATTAATACCAAAGCCTCACTGATTCCTTTTTGAAATGTCAAATTGTCAAGAAGATGACCCATATATAAATGGTTTTAAAAGCTATGGATTACTGCTAGTAGTATACCATGCAATTCTGTATTATTGTTGTTCTTAGAAGCTAATATTTTGTGTGATGAAGGGGGAAAGCTAGTTGAAAGCTAATTAATTTGTCAAACGAGTGTAGTAAATTGTGGAGATTTAAATATGAAAGAAAGGACTTATTCTTTTACCTTATCAAAGCCTGCGACATTACTGGATAATACTTTTCTTGATGGCCAAAGGTTTAAAATGATGTAGTTGTTGAACTTCCACAGTGCTCACCGGAGCTGTGGCGCCTGTATGTGTTCGGAACCTGCAAAGTTGCTTTTTTGCAGGATGGGTGGGGCCTTTGGATCCAGCAACACTAAACTCTGTAATTTTTAGTCATCAAGTTTTTGTTTCTAAGACTTCTCCAGAATATTTAAAGAAGATTTCTCTTCACCAAAATAGAATCTCTAAACACCCATTGGAATGACAGAAATTTTCCTGCTGTGGTCTATGAATGCCTCCAGGGTGCCCAGCATTGCTATTTCCACTCATTAGATAGTGAGTGGGACTTCCCCAGAGAGGCCAAGTCACCCCTTCATTAAGTTTATTAACTGGGTTTTATAGTTACGTCCTCAGTGACGTGGGAAAGCTAAGACACCCTACACCGCTGTCTACCCACCAGGAGGTAACCTTTGACATTGTTGTGCTCTACTTTAAGGAAAACCTGGTATTGCAGAATCCAGACTTCATAAAGATAAATTAGAGGAAATCTTCACTGAAGAAAATGGCCCTGCTCCTGAGGGAGCCTTTAATTGCTGCTCCTCTAGCAGGTGTAGGTGCTCGTCACTAACCTGATCAGTAGCCGTTGTCTCTGCTCCTTCTTTCTGAAAGTGGGCGATTGTAGAAGATGGTCTGGCAAAGGTACTGAAAAAGGGCAAAATATCATCATTACGCTTTCACCCTCAAAATCCTAGTATTCTATACTTCACCTCAAAGAAGTCCTTGGGGCAAGGCTTGCTGGGCCAAGGGGCATGGGAGGAAGAGGGGCTGGAAACTCGAACTACAGAAGCAACTGTTGGACAACCAATCAAAAATGAGGGTAAGGCATCTTTGGCATGATCTTTTGAGAATAGAAATTTACAACAATTTACATGCCACTTTGTTAAATAAATGCTGAAGCAAAGTGAGTGAACATATGTATTTTTAGAGCTCATAATCCACTCAGTCAAGGCGTGGCTACCCATCATGAACTTGTATTACAGCTCCACCTGATTACTTCCTTTCTGTGCAGCTGGAGGAGAGGAGAACAACTTGTAGAAGTCATGGGCGTTAAGAGATGTCAACTTCACACAAATGTCAGACAAGGGTGTAAGGATTCTTATGTGATGCAGCTCAGCTTTTATATCCCTCAAACAAACTGAGCAGGGAACATTTTTGGAAGTAATTAGTTTTCAAATCCATTTTTATGGCAGCCTCTTACATTTGAAATCATTTCATTTGCAGGTAAGGTTATCCCATCCATGCCAATCTTACTAGGCATTTTTAAAAAGCAAGGATTCAGCACCATATTAACAGTGATGGTTGAAACTAGAGGCAGAACCGTGCCATGAAGAGAAGAATGAAATCAGCACAGTTATTTAATAATCAGGAAAGAAGAGACAATGTATGGTTTCTAGTAATTCATTTTCAGTTTGCTGTGTTTTGATTCGGTGGTTTCAAATAAATGCGTAAAAAATCTTTCAAGTTACTATGAGGCTTTCTTAGTGTTAAGGTGCATAACCGAGGTCTGCCTAGTGAGGTACAGTCTCTTCACATAGCTAAACATTCTCCATCTTATGTGATATAGCTACATGACCTGGGATGAAACAGTTACTAGTTTACAGATGATTTCCAGCCCTGGGTACATGCTGTATTTTAGCTGGGAGAGTACACTTAGGAAAAGCACTTGCAAAGATACAAGTTATGAACACTTGAATCTCGCATCCTGCCATAAAGTGCAGCAGCAGGTGAGTTTAATAAAACACGCTGTTTAAAATAGTCTGTAATTTCCTGTTTCTGCCTTTCCCCTCAGTATCTGACAGGCTGAAGAACGATGACTAAAGGGAGGGAATTCTCACAAGCTCATTTGGTGGTGTTTGCAAACCGTCGCCATGAGCTTCATCTTCTTTGGTAAACAATTCTCTGGTGGGCTGTTGATGGTTGTTTTTTTTTCCTTGGTGTTGATCCAGTTTGTTAATTTTGAAAATGCAAACTACTTATTCATAGCTTAGGAACACCTGCTTCTGACCACAATGAAACTAATAGAAGGTATGCAGATGGATTAGGCATTTCTTACGGAATTTCCCATGTTTCCAAACCCCATCTTTATAACTGTCTCCTTGATTTAAAATCATAAAATCTTATTAAATGTTATACTTTGGGAGGGAGAACACTCAGAAAAGAACTTGCAGAGACATAAGTTGTGATTGTGCTTCCTGCCAAGATCCTCTAGACAAAGGGCAAATATCAGAACTCTGGAGGAAAAGGAGTACCAAGTACCCTAAGACCTGTGCTTTCCGCCTGGCACCTTCAGCAGCTGCTGCTTCCATGCAGACCATGCCGTAGGAGCGGTGAATGCAGGCACCAGGCATGGCGGTCCTCCACTGCCCCCTCTAATTGGTCAGTTCACACATGAACTAGCTCTGATAACTCTTGAAACAGTGCTTTCTGTGCAGATGCCTTCTGAAGTAACAGATATACTGAATCAGAATCTTCATTTAACAAGATTCAAGAATCCCCTGGGGATCTTGTTAAAATGTAGATTCTAATTCAGTATATCTGGGGTAGAAATGCAAATTCTCAGCAGGGAGTCGAACCAGAATAAACCGGTTTGAAGCCCTGGACATAACCCTTGTATCCTTGCAATTAAGAGGTGAGTAGCAATGCACCTCATGCATAGCCACCACCCATCTGTCAATGGAGATTTTCATGTTGCCATGATGCTAAACAGGTTTCAGCAGTTTCCAGACTAAGCTAGATTAGGAGGAAAGGCCTGGTGATCTACTTTTGAAAATCAGCTAATGAAAACCCTATGGATCACAAAGGCCCAATCTGCAACTAGTCATGGGAATGGTGCAGGACCAGGCAGCGTTTTGCCCCACTGTGCATGGGGTCACGATGAGTTGGGGTCCAACTCAATGGCAGCTAACAACACATCTCTGAAATGCGTCTGGCTCAGTAGTCAGGTGTCCACTTCCTCTTCACGACTCACAAAACCCTTGAATGCATGACAAGGAAAAGACGGAGAATGACAGGCTATAAGGCAAGGGCTTTTGGCAAAATGTTGGGTGATTTCTGGCAGATTGGAGTGGAGGAAATCTGAGAAATAATGGTGTTTCACGTGCATTGCAAAGTTCACTTTCTTTAAGGAAAAGTCTCAGGACTAAAAAGGAAAGAAATTTCATTGTTGTTGTCAGACCTCTTTATGAAGACAGGAAAAAAACATTTTAGGAACTAAAGGATTTCCTTCATGTTTTCTCAGAAAGAGAGAAATGGCTTGTCGCCCTTTCTGGGAGGTGGCAAGATTTCTTATTGCTGCTCTCCCAGCTCATAGACACTGTGGCTTTGTGACTAGGTATAGGCATTAGCCCAAGGCACCTCTCTCCTGAATGGTTCAGGCACAGAGATCATGGGTTTCTCATAAGACTGAACTAAAGCAGAGGGTTAAGAATGTGGGTTTTGAGTCAACTGCCTAGAATCAAATCCCAGCTCT